TTCAGTTCTAAATTTTCAATGGCTTCTGTCCACCTTCATCAGAGTTGCAATGTTAAAGTTCATTACTGCTTGTGCTACAACCCCGCTTGCTGTCGTGTTATTGATTTTCTAAATCAACAGTAAGTAGGCAAAAAAAATCTTAGAGAATCTCTATCTGTGATTGCAACACTGGAAGTAGTATTTTTAGTGACATCAAAAAGTCAATATTTACATGATTTCTCTGTCATACTAGAAAAATATACACAGTTGCAGTAGAAAAAGAGGTAGTTAGGTGCCTGAGCTTTACACGTGTTGTTACCCCAGTACAGACAATCAAAAGAAATTTATATCAGAAAGCCCTCAAGCAAATCTGATGCAGACCAATTAAACCTACATCAATATACATTATTGATTTTAATTTTGTGATCCACTAATAGAGTTTGATACATGTACTCACAAATGGTCTAGGTTTAAGCCTTTGCTAACCTTTATACAGAAGAAAACAGCTTAGTGCATCACTGAAGGAGAATCCATCCAAGTATTAAATTATTCCAGAAATTGAATTATTGTTTAAGGGGTTTTATTGAGGTATTTAACATCAGAATGGCTACTCTGGAATAATCTGGAATATACTCTTATTCCAGAACAAGGTCAATCAAGCACCCCCCTAAACAGCTTTGTTGCTCTTCTGCACCAAGATCACTGCACACATCATTACAAAGTCAGCATGTATTGAACAGAAAGAAACACAAACCTTTTGGTCCAGCTGTTGCTAAATCTCCTTTTCTGTCACTGTCTGCTTTTGTGTAATCTGAAGAACATGGTGAAGCTGTATCTCCATTTGTTTCTGATGAGAAGGAGAGATCTCATTACATGGCTACATGCTTCATTAAAGTGGATAGGAATTGACATGACTTCAAGCAGGGGTTTCAGTGAGGTTTTTTATCAGAAGGGCATCAGGGTATGATATTTGGGCAGAAAATTACTTAACGTGGTCTTTATTTAATAATGGCCTTTATTAAAAATAGAATTCAAAACGACCATTACAATTAACAATAAAAAGATGTAAATAAAAATGGGGTATAAATACAACCTACCTAGGAACAAAGAAATGGTTTAAATAATAAATAATAATCAATCTTTATTTACACTCACTCTTGCTAAAGAAAAAATTACAATTTCAATGAAAATATGAAAAGTAAAAATTAGAGTACTAGCTGCCTGGAATAACCATAGGGGCTAGCGGAGCCAGGCAGCCAGTTGACATCAGCATTCAATAGAAAGAAAATACAGGTCAGCAAGAAAACTTGAGCACAAATGCACACACAAGAAGAAAAAAAAAGAAGAGGAAAAATGCTATTTCTATGCTATGAAGGAAGTCTAAAATAGTTTAAGTTATATATCAATACAAAACATGAAAATGAAGAGGAAAATAAAATAAAATGAAGAGGATTATTAAATAAAATCTAAGGTGGGTTAGAGCATTTGAAAATGTGCTGAATAGAACACACTTGACCCACCCCTACCATTTGGCACAAAACAGAGTGACCCACCCCTCAATGAAGGTGAAAAATTACATGACCCACCCGCTATAAAACATGATATTTTTGGTTGCATAATCCAACAAAGTCACATAAATGTTTGTGTATTAACTTGTGGTGAAATTTTAGATTTTAGACATATTTCTTTACAATAATACTAAAGGATCTAAAAATAATATTGTTTTCCTTTGCTCTTGCAACTTTCAAGTCATGTCTGTAAACTGCACAAAAAACTTGACAACAACCCCTTGCATTCTCCACCTCTGGCCTCGCTTCCCATGGAATAGTGATCCATCTAGAGAAAGGTTGTAGTGAGTCCTGGGACTCACACAGCCAACAAACCAACCTAGTACCCAGGGTCTCTCATATCACTCCAGGGGCTGGGAAGATCAGAGACCCTGGGAACGAGGTTGCCAGCAGACTTTGAGTGTGAGTCTCAGATCCACGAACATAAGTCCCGTACCCTTGTGGATAAATAGCATGTAGACACAAGTTGGCCAGTTGGTGTCCTGGGAGACTAACATGGCGAAAGAGCATAGTCAGTCGGAAAATTTCTGCACTGGGACTCCTGCTTGCTCATTCTGTTAGACTTCTTCCTTTTCGTACAGATTCACATCTTGCAAGTTACATTTTATATAAAGACACAAAACAGGAATGAGAA